AGATTGTATAGGTCAGGAGTAGGCAACATTGGCTCTTTTTATGACTCGTGGACTTCAACTCCCAGAATTCCTGAGCCAGCCATGCTGAGGGGAAAGGGAGAGGTTTCCAAGCTGAGCCATGCTGGCTCAGGAATTCTGGGAGTTGAAGTCCATGAGTCATAAAAGAGCCAAGGTTGCCTACCCCTGCCCTATACCATTTCAGACAAGTGGCTGTCCAGTCTCTTCTTAAAAACCTCCAATGAAGCATCCACAACGTCTGAAGGCAAGTTCCAGATTCACTTAACAACTGCATGATTCACTTAACGACTGCTGCGATTCGCTTAACTGTGGCCCAAAAAAGCTCATTAAATGAAGCAAAACTCGTTTAAAAGCTGCCTTGATTAGCATCGGGAGTTTTGCACTCAGTTGTAGTTAAGGATTATCTATAATGAACTGCTTGCTCTTTTGGCCTCAGAGTGGGAGTAAGGTGTGTATTTGTGTTTAGGTTTTGGAGGGACAGTAGTGAAATCACCCATCTTGCTACTTTGAGGGGGGGGAAATGGTGATTCACTGGAGATCTTTGGCCAAGGAATGAACGAAACTGATGCGCAGCGATGACGTAACAAAGAAATAAAACTGTAGATTTGGAGAACCTCAGAGCCTGCATATCACTGGGGTAGAGAAACAGGTACTTATATTTTTAGGAAGCGGGTGGGGAGAAAAGGATAACCTGTCCTTGCTAGAATAATAAGCCAGGCATTTGCCCCGGGAAGGCAGATGGAATATTGTGGGGGCAGAAACACCACTGTCCAGTTTCAATGGTTGACCCTGTTAACATCCACTGGGTTTTAGATAAAGTCAGTTCCTAATGTATAAACCAGGGGTAGGCAACCTTAGCTCTTTTATGACTTGTGGACTTCAACTCCCAGAATTCCTGAGCCAGCCATGCTGAGCCATGTTGGCTCAGGAATTCTGGGAGTTGAAGTCCACGAATTGTAAAAGAGCCTAAGTTGCCTACCCCTGGTATAAACCCTCAGTACAGAGCCAGCAACCTTGGCTAAGGGATAAAGTTGGAAAAGCTGTTATCCTGGGGAGTTACTACAAGAGATTCATCCTTCCCTTTCCTTCAACTCCCAGAATTCCACAGCCACTTGTCTGAAATGGTATATAGGGCAGGGGTGGGGAACCTTGGCTCTTTTATGACTCGTGGACTTCAACTCCCAGAATTCCTGAGCCAGCATGGCTCAGCTTCGAAACCTCTCTCTTTTCCCTCACCATGGCTGGCTCAGGAATTCTGGGAGTTGAAGTCCACAAGTCATAAAAGAGCCAAGGTTCCCCACCCCTGGTACAGGGTCTCCTGCTTGGGCAGGGGGCTGGACTAGGAGACCTCCAAGGTCCCTTCCAGCTCTATTCTGATTGATTGACATTTAACATTCCCTGTTGGAAGCGTTTGCTTTCTTCCAGTAAAGGGGGAAAAATGGAAACAACCCTGAGAACCACAAAAGGAGCCACAACTCCTTCAGACCAGCAGCAGCAGCTGTAAAAACTAAAAGGCTGTAAGGCCCCCTTAACATAGGGCGACCCCTCCCCGTTTGCCCTTAAGAGTCCTGGTCCTGGCAGCCTCTAGCTTCAGAAATGAGCAGCGCATGCGCCTGGAGAGTTTTCTGGGGGGTGGGCTCCGCCAGTCTTTTGCGAACCGGGAATCTTTTCTTAGGTAAGAGGTAGAGGTTAAAAGAATAAAAAATCGCCCAGAGCGTCTTGCCTCTCTAGGAAGGAGGGCTCGTTCGCCTTCTGCTGAGCTACTTGGAGCCGGGCAAGGCGCGGGAGTTTCTGCCAGGATCGGAGACGCGAGTGTGAGTTTCACGCGCGGAAAAGCCTCGTGGAAACCAAACCCCAAATGCACTAAAACGCCTTTCCGGGAAATCTGGGAAAGGAGCTTGAGAAAGACTGGGGGGGAAAAAGGCTCCCTTCTGCTCTCCAGCAGCAGAATATAGGAATGGGGGGAGAAGCCCTGCGTGGGAAAGGGGAAGGGGCTGCAGATCCCCGGGCGAGACTCAGCGCCTCCCACAATCCTAACAATTGCTAGCTGCCCCCCCAACCCCACCCCGACCTCCCTGTTCCCCACATGGCCCTTTTCTTTATCTCGGATGCTGCTGATGGAGCATAAAATCCAGGGAGGGTCCAGTCTGCGCCTCCCACCTGAAGGGAACAAGTGTGTGTGTGTGTGCGTGTCTGTGTGTGTGTGAGAGAGAGAGAGTACAGAATAACCTAGTTGGAAGGGACCTTGGAGGTCATCTAGTCCAACCCTCTGTTCAAGCGGGAGACCCTGGCTTATATCATTCCAGACAGATGGTTGTCCAATCTCTTCTTGAAAGTTTGCAATACAGATAGTCCTTGACTTAACAACAGTTCATTTAGTGACCATTCAAAGTTACAGCAGCACTGAAAAAAAGTGGTATAAAGCTTGGTTAAACTTGAAGGGTTCAAATTTAGTAAGTTTGAAGTTTGTTTGAAGGGTGCTTCCCTACTGGGGATCCTTGTAGGTCATCTAGTCCAACCCCCTGCTCAAGCAGGAGACCCTATATCGGGGGTAGGCAACCTCGGCTCTTTTATGACTCGTGGACTTCGACTCCCAGAATTCCTGAGTCAGCATAGCTGACTCAGGAATTCTGGGAGTTGAAGTCCACGAGTCATAAAAGAGCCGAGGTTGCCTACCCCTGCCCTATACCATTTCAGTTAGATGGCTGTCCAGTCTTTTCTTAACAACCTCCAGTGAAGAAGGGCCTACAACTTCTGGAGGCAAGCTGTTCCATTGTTTAATTGTTCTCACTGTTAGTAAGTTTCTCCTTAATTCCAGGTTGCTTATCTCTTTGATCAGTTTCCATCCATTGTTCCTTGTCTGGCATTCGGATGCTTTGGAGAATAGGTTGACCCACTCCTCTCTGTGACAGCCCCTCAAATATTGGAAGACTGCTGTCATGTTGCCCCTGGTCCTTCTCTTCACTAGACTAGCCATGCCCAGTTCCTGCAGCCTTCCTATGTTTTAGCCTCCGGTCCCCTAATCACCTTTGTTGCTCTTCTCTGCACTCTTTCTAGAGTCTCAACATCTTTTTTATAGTGTACTATTCTAGATATGGTCTTACTAAAGCTTTATAGAATGGTATAAAGCCTTCATAAGTTTGAAGGGAACCATGCTTCCCTGATGGGGATCCTAAAGGGAGAGGCCAAGCCTGGATTGGGGTGGGGTGCGGGGTTAGCTCTCAATATTGCAAGCCCCCTGCACCCATTGCTCCAGACCTAATTATGCAAGTGGTCCTCAACTTACAACAATTCATTTGGTGACCGAAGTTACAACAGCACTGAAAAAAATGGTCATACGTCACTTTTTTCAGTGTTGTAACTTTGAACGGTCACTAGTGAACCGTTGTAAGTCGGGGATTACCTTACTGCTATTATGTTTCCCCTAGTCCTTCTTTTCTCTAGACTTCTTGTTGTTGTGCCATATCCGTTATCGGACGTTGGCGATCCTTTTTTTATCAGCAGCCGCACGAAAGTGCTGCTGAGTTTTGTCCAAACCAGTCCCTTAGATTTTGAAGCCATGATGTTCTTCTTCTGCCTGGACCTCGTTTGCCTTCAATCTTTCCCTGGAAGATTAAATGGAGTATGCCGTATTTTCCTGGGTGTCGCATCACATGTCCGAAATATTCTAATTTTCGTTTTTTAATGGTTTTGATGATTTCCCTTGGCTTTCACAGGCGGCTTATCACCTCTTCATTTCTGATCTTGTCAACCCAGCTTCTACGTAACAGCCGCCTGTAAATCCACATTTCAAATGCTTCTAGTGTCTAGTCTCTTCAGGTGGCCTTCTGTCAACTCTCTACTCCATAGAGCAGGATAGAAAAAATATAGCATCTGACAAGCCTGATTTTCAGTCTCTAGACTAGCCAGACCCAATTCCTGCAACTGTTCTTCATATGTTTTTGTCTCCCATACCAGGAGAAAAAAAAGCTGCAGGTTCTGCAAAGCTATTTGTTATATAATCAAATGGCGCTGAAGCACATAATAATAATAATAATAATAATAATAATAATAATAATAATAATAATAATAATAATAATAATAATAATAATAATAATAATAATAATAATAATAAAGTTGGAAGGGACCTTGGAGGTCATGAGTCCAACCTCTTGCTCAGGCAGGATAGGAATAGAAAACAGAATATAGAATAGGGATAGGGATAGAAATAGAGATAGGATGGGATATAGAATAGGGATAGAATAGAAATAGATATAGGTTAGATAGGAATAGAAAATATAATAATAATAATAATAATGATGATGATGATGATGATGGAAGGGATCTTGGAGGTCATCTAGTCCAACCCCCTGCTCAGACAGGAAACCCTATACCATTTTGGACAAATGGCTGTCCAGTCTCTTCTTAAAAACTTCCAGTGTTGGAGCATTCACAGCTTCTGGAGGCAGGTTGTTCCATTGGTTAATTGTTCTAACTGTCAGGAAGTTTCTCCTCAGTTCTAGGTTGCTTCTCTCCTTGATTAGTTTCCATCCGTTGCTTCTTGTCCTGCCCTCAGGCGCTTTGGAGAATAGCTTGACTCCCTCTTCTTTGGGGCAACCCCTGAGATACTGGAAGACTGCTATCATGTCGCCCCTCGTCCTTCTCTTCATTAAACTAGACATACCCAGTTCCAGCAACCGTTCCTTCTATGTTTTAGCCTCCAGTCCCCTGATTATCTTTGTTGATTAGGGGACTGGAGGCTAATCAACTAATCATCTGGATGGGACTGTCATCCTGTGTGGTTTTGAATTATTTTTCTCTTTTTCTTAGACTATCTTCCTTCACGCACCAGATCTTTGCTTTGGGAGATAAATGACTCCGTGTCCTTAGGAGATTCATCCGCAGCCTCTTTGTGCAATTCAGCCTCTAAAAGCGAATGCAACTCTGTAGAGGCCGGAGATCCTTTGCCCTGTTGGAAACTACACTGGAGTAGAAAAGACAAAATGGACGTTGAGAGTCCAGCAGGAATGGAAGCCACCAAAGGCCCTGCTGCCTTTGAGGATGGATCCGGTAGTGTGTTGTGGGAAAGCACCAGGCCGAAGATCCTGCATGAGGAAGTCATCAACTCTGATGTTCATCGTTTGTTCTTCAGGAATTTCTGCTACCATGAGGCCAGGGGGCCTAGAGAGACTTGTAGCCAACTGCATCAGCTTTGCCATCAGTGGCTGAAGCCGGAAAGCAGCACCAAAGCTCAGATGGTGGACATGGTGGTCTTGGAGGAGTTTCTGGCTGTCCTGCCCCCAGAGATGGAGAGCTGGGTGAGGGAATGTGGAGCGAAGACTTGTTCCCAGGCTGTGGCCCTGGCCGAAGGTTTCCTCCTCAGTCAAGCAACAGATGAGGGGCAAGTAGAGAAGCAGGTATGAGATTTTATCTTGGCATGGAGGAAGAACAAGACATTCCCTTGTTTTATGAAGTGCTTCACTTTTTATTACTTCATGCGAATAGAAATTAGAATAGAATAGAATAGGAATAAGAATTGGAATAGAATAGAATAGAATAGAATTAAATAGAATAGAATTAAATAGAATAGAATTAAATAGGTATAAGAGTAGAATTAAATAGAATAGAAATAATAAGAATAGAATAGAAGTGAAGTGAATAGAATAGAATAATAGAATAGAATTAAATAGAATAGAATTAAATAGGAATAAGAGTAGAATTAAATAGAATAGAAATAATAAGAATAGAATAGAATAGAATAGAATAGAATAGAATAGAATAGAATAGAATAGAATAGTCCTAGTGGACAATCACTTAAATATGAGCCAGCAGTGTGCTGCAGCTGCCAAAAAAGCCAACACAGTGCTAGGCTGCATTAACAGAAGGATAGAATCAAGATCACGTGAAGTATTAATACCACTCTACAATGCCTTGGTAAGGCCACACTTGGAATACTGCATCCAGTTTTGGTCACCACAATGTAAAAAAGATGTTGAAACTCTAGAAAGAGTACAGAGAAGAGCAACAAAGATGATTAGGGGACTGGAGGTTAAAACATATAAGGAACGGTTGCTGGAATTGGGTATGTCTAGTTTAATGAAGAGAAGGACGAGGGGGGAACATGATAGCAGTGTTCCAATATCTCAGGGGCTGCCACAAAGAAGAGGGAGTCAGGCTATTCTCCAAAGTGCCTGAAGGCAGGACAAGAAGCAACGGGTGGAAACTAACCAAAGAGAGAAGCAACCTAGAACTAAGGAGAAACTTCCTGACAGTTAGAATAATTAATCAGTGGAACAACCTGCCTCCAGAAGCGGTGAATGCGCCAACACTGGAAGTTTTTAAGAAGAAACTGGACAGCCATTTGTCCGAAATGGTATAGGGTTTCCTGCCTGAGCAGGGAGTTGGACTTGATGACCTCCAAGGTCCCTTCCAATAATAATAATAATAATAATAATAATAATAATAATAATAATAATAATAATAATAATAATAATAATAGAATAGAATAACTTTATTGTCACTTTAAATGTACCCTAATCAGCATACATTAAAATGAGATTTCGTTGCATACAGCTCTCAAAGGGTAACCAACTCCAATATACACTGCATAAACATATCACAAAAAATAAATTTAAAAAATAACCATATATATACACATACACATGTGGCCCAGAGAAACAACACAAGTCTAGTTTGGATGTATACATATACATGGCGAGAAATACGAATCCTACGAGTTTACCAGACGGAAGGCGTAGGTAACAAAGCTGTTACAGAATCTGGTAGTCCTGCTAGAAATACTTCAAAACTTCTTCCCAGAGGGGAAGCAACTAAAACAGACTGTAAAGTGGGTGTGTGAGGTCTGTAACAATGCTTCGAGTTCTAAGCTCATAGCACTTATAAGCAGTGTGTCCTGAATCACAGGAAGTGGGCTTCCTATAATTTCCTCAACTGTCCTTACCGCTCTATGAGAAGATTATAATTGACTTTTCCCTCCCATCATTTAGGTAGGAAACAAACAGACGCACAGCTACGGAACAGGAAATACCTGGCCCAGCACGAGTACTTGGGAGAAAGATATTGGCGTCCTGGTAGTTCACAAATTAAGTAGGAGTCAGCAGTGTGCTACAGCTGCTAGTAAAGCCTATGGAGACTTAGACTGATCAATAAAGATACATGCCGAGATCATCAGAAATGATTGCTCTGCTTTACACTGTAGCAGTCAGACCACACCTGGGTATACTTGCACTGGGTCCAGCTTTGATTGACACAATGCAAGAAGAATGCTGAGAAACTGGAAACGGGCAGAGAAGGACAACAAAGGTTGAGGGGATAGAGTTTAAATCCTAGAAAGAGTAGCTAAAGAACAGGACATGTTTCATCTGAAGAAGAGAAGGAGCTGGGGAACCATGGCAGCAGCCTTCCAAAATTTAGGGGCTGTCAAAGGCAGGTGGGTATGGATCGATTCTCTGTGGGACAAGGAATACTTCATATCTATCTTTACAACAGGAGATACAAGGTCAAAATAAAGGAGGAATTTCATCCCTTTGAGAGATATGGGATAGCCTGTCCCCTGGAGAGGTGCGTGCTTCTATACTGGAGGTTTCCAAGTCAAGGTCTGGGCAGCCATTTCAATCAATCAATCAGAATAGAGCTGGAAGGGACCTTGGAGGTCTTCTAGTCCAACCCTCTGCTCAAGCAGGAGAACCTATTGTCAGGTTCCGAAAGAAATAACTTTTCAGAGAACTTTTAGGCATAATTACCTTAAAGAATCCTTTAATGAGTTACATAATCCGGCACGAACGAAGTAAAGCCAAAGACTGAAACACCCCCCCCATCCCAGTTCTCGCGACAAGCACAACTCCCTCCCTCCTTTCACAGTCATCAATCATATGCTCCAATTAAACAGAGGTGTGAATTTTCTTCTCGTCTCATCCGTTATTACAAACTGCTGCTGCTTTGACCTTGGCTGTGCTATGCTAAGATAATGTAGTTATTCACAGGCATTCCTCCCCCCTCATCTGGCCCGCAATGCCTGCTTTTGCTGTTGAGGCCATATGTAGACTAAATAGATATGTTTGCTTCTTCACTTATGTCAAGCAATAACATCCAATGTTAGCAGACTTGACATCCGGCCCCCCTTAGATGAAAGACAAATCCAGTGAAGTGAAAGCTGACCGATTGATCAACAGATTTCATATAAAAAATCCCACCAAACCGAAAGATGACTCTTAACCTATGCTTAACCTATGCTTTTGTTCACTTTACAGGATCTGTCTTTCATCTAAGGGGCCCCGGATGTCAAGTCTGCTAACATTGGATGTTATTGCTTGACATAAGTGAAGAAGCAAACATATCTATTTAGCCTACACATTGCTTCAAGAGCAAAAGCAGGCATTGCGGGCCAGATGAGGGGGGAGGAATGCCTGTGAATAACTACATTATCTTAGCATAGCACAGCCAAGGTCAAAGCAGCAGCAGTTTGTAATAACAGATGAGACGAGAAGAAAATTCACACCTCTGTTTAATTGGAGCATATGATTGATGACTGTGAAAGGAGGGAGGGAGTTGTGCTTGTCGCGNCGCGACAAGCACAACTCCCTCCCTCCTTTCACAGTCATCAATCATATGCTCCAATTAAACAGAGGTGTGAATTTTCTTCTCGTCTCATCTGTTATTACAAACTGCTGCTGCTTTGACCTTGGCTGTGCTATGCTAAGATAATGTAGTTATTCACAGGCATTCCTCCCCCCTCATCTGGCCCGCAATGCCTGCTTTTGCTGTTGAGGCCATATGTAGACTAAATAGATATGTTTGCTTCTTCACTTATGTCAAGCAATAACATCCAATGTTAGCAGACTTGACACCTATATCATTTCAGACAAGTGGTTGTCCAGTCTCTTCTTAAAAACTTCCAGGGATGAAGCACCCACAACTTCTGGAGACAAGTCGTTCCACTGATTAATTGTTCTCACAGTCAGGAAATCCCTCCTTAGTTCTAGATTGGCTCTCTCCTTGATTAGTTTCCATCCCTTGTTTCTTGTCCTGCCTTCTGGTGCTTTGGAAAATAATTTGACCCCCTCCTCTTTGTGGCAACCCTTCAAATGCTGGAATACCACTATTGTATCACCCCTAGTCCTTCTTTTGTCTAGACTGGCCCTACCCAATTCTTGCAACTGTTCTTCCATATTTATCTGGAATGTTTGAGGAGTGGACTAAAAGACCTCCAAGATGCCTCCCAATGCTAGAATTCCATTATTATTCTACAGCAGGAGTCCCCAATCTGTGAGCTGTGGCCCATTACCGGTACGTGGCCTATTCACAACCGGGCCATGTGAGTGACTGGCTTTTGCACACTCGTGTGTGTGTGGGTGCACAGTCCTACTCGTGCACATTGCAGGTGCTCTAGGCCTGACTCGTGCGAGGGTTGTGGGTGCTTGGGTCCCACTTGCATGAGCATTGTGGCCACTCAGGGCCTGACTCAGGGGTACTCAACCTCACTCATACAAGCATCACAAGTGCTCTTGGCCCCACTCTCGCAAGCAACGGGTGCTTGTCCGCGTGCACTGTGCGTGCGCACGCTCCTGCCCCTCTCACAAAACCGTCCCCTCTTCCCTCCGGACCACCAACCTGGAAAAGGAACTCTGTTCTACAGGAACAAGGGGAAACCCAAGCCCAATTCCACCCCAAGGATAGAGAGAGGAAGCTTCAAGGTTAGAGGGCAGATGAAAAGAATTCCATCTACCCTGTGTGTCTTCATCATAGCTCCTCCATTTTTTCCCCCCTTCTGTCCGGTGTTTCAGGTGCCAGAAGCATTGACGGAGATGATCTCAACACAAATCAAAGAAAGGGAAGATGTGTCCACTTCTTCTCAGGAACCATTCTTTGGGAAGATGTCTGAGGGGGATCCAACTCAGGTCACCTCCCAATGTAAGTGAAGAATAGAATAGAACAGAGGTAGGCAACCTCGGCTCTTTTATGACTCACGGACTTCAACTCCCAGAATTCCTGAGTCAGCTATGCTGACTCAGGAATTCTGGGAGTTGAAGTCCGTGAGTCATAAAAGAGCCGAGGTTGCCTACCCCTGGAATAGAATATCTTTATTGTCATTGTGTAACTCGCAACGAAATTAAGTATAAGTGAAATTAAGTGAAGGTATCTTACACAGTAGAAGCAATGGAGCCATCGCTTCTTTCCTTCATGAACTTTTTTGACAATCAGATATTTTGTCAGCAGACAGGAATGAGGTTTGATAGGATGATAAAGCTCCCCACAAGACATTCACACAGCTTTAAAATATTCCATTTCCAACACCTTTTTCTTGCTCGTAGGGAATGGAAAGGCATTGGTGGTTATCCCTGAAACATCTCCCGTTTGCGATGAAGCAGAAACAGCATCTGGGACTCCATCTCAGGTAGGGGAAGATTCTTCATAACAGGAGAGAATTTGGGAGATGGGGGGTGTCCCAAATCCCTGCCATGGAAATTAACACAAAGGTTGTTTTTTAGCATGGGAAGCGAATGCAATCAAGATTTAATTTAATAGACCAGTAGTTTATGGATGGAAATGAAATGATTTTTTCCTTTTCTTGTTTCTTGTCAGTTATAAAATAGCCAAAAAAAAACAAAACTCAAGGAAACATTTTTTTACTCTTACTTATAGTTTTTTGTTCTAATGCAGATGCTTTCTGTCAAATCAAGTTATATCAGTGAATAAACATAGCAATAGCTTTAAACATGCTCATAAACAGATCAGCTTAGCAATTAGTATTGTATGGGGCAAATTTGCTGTGTTAAAATCCTTCAAGCAATGTTAAATGTCTTCTGTCATAAGGGATTTGGGAAGGATATGAACAAGAAATGAAATTGGTCAGGCAGAATGGTATCAGTCAAATATATATATTCGCTAAAAAATTTTGGATTGCTAACAAAGAGTTAAAGGGGGACTGGAATAGCTATTTCGAGCTGATTAGCTCTCATCAGATTTCTTCCTCCCAGGTGTATCAAAAAAACATTCAAGATATATATATACTCCTAGATTGGAGCGAAAACGCAGAACAGACTGATTTATATTTGGTAGACCAGGTGCTCCACCCAATAGATAAGATATATATCCTCCTGGTTTCTGCTGACAGGAGTAAGGGGGAACCTGTGGCTCAAAAGGTTAATACAGTTGCCTAACATGCAAGCTGCCCAGGTTCGAATCCCAGAGGGGTATGACTAGCTGATGAGAGCTAAAGAGCTTGAAATAACTATACTAGTCTCCCACTAACTCTTTGTCAGCCACAACATTTTGAATTTACAGTATTCACAGTATGTGATGTCTGCCTGCAAAACATGCTCCTAGATTGGAGCGAACGTAGAACAGACTGATTTATATTTGGTACACCGGGTGCTCCACCCAACAGATACATACACACACACACACACACACACACATATATGCATTTAAAATGCAACATCTGAGAGGCAGATATAGTGTGTGTGTGTATGTATATGTATATATCTGCCTCTCAGATGTTGCGCTTTAAATGCATATGTGTGTGTGTGTATCTGCCTCTCAAATGTTGCACTCTACATGCATATATGTGTGTGTGTGTATTTGTATATATCTGCCTCTCAAATTTTTCACTCTAATTGCATATATATATATGTATGTGTGTGTGTGTGTATGTATATATCTGCCTCTCAAGTGTTGCACTCTAAATGCATATATGTGTGTGTGTGTATGTATTTGTATATATCTGCCTCTCAAATGTTGCGCTCTAAATGCATATATACGTGTGTGTGTGTATCTGTCTCAAATGTTGTGCTCTAAATGCATATATACGTGTGTGTGTGTGTGTGTGTGTGTGTTTATATACCTCTGCCTCTCAAATTCCTTCCTCCTGGGACTTCTCTTAAAGAATATTTTTGTTTTCCTCTTTCAGGGTTCAGTGTCTTTTGAGGAGGTGGCTGTGTATTTTGTGGAGGAGGAATGGGAGATTCTGGATCCTAACCAAAAAGCTTTGCACAGGGAAGTCATGCTGGAAAATTCCCAAAATGTGACAGCTCTGGGTAAGGGCCCCTCCTTTGTTCTGTGTTAGCTTCATTTGTGGAATACCTTTGTAGTCAGAAGTATTTGGAGAACGTCTTCCAGATGGAAGAAGACATTCTGCTTACCTGCTTAGTTTCCTTCTTTATGTGACATTCATCACCTCAATCTACTAGGAGTCTAGATGATACACAACATTCCGAGTCGATAATGCAACATAAAACACAATGCACATTAGTAAAACATTCTGAGGCTGATGGTTGCAAACTTATCAATTGCAAAAAAAACCCTTCTAGATAAGTTTTAAGAAGGCCATGAGAATGGGAGCAACCCGTATCTCAGTGGGGCAGAAAGTAAGCTGTTCTAAAAACAGGTGAGTCCCCCAAAGGATGCCTGCCCCCTGAACTCCCAACTTGTTGCACCTTGCAGGTGTTCCCTGATCGCCTGCAAGGTACAACAGGTGGAGCAGGAGTTCCCCAATCATCTGGGCTGGACAGGTGCCTTTACACTGTACTGGTCCTAAGCCATGTCAGGATTTATGGGTATTGAGCATCATTTTGAATGGTACACATGGATAGATCTCCAAGTAGTGGTTTCATGTGGCAAGACCTGTTGCGCCTATTGTGCGCCTAGATCAGTGATGGCGAACCTTTTAGAGACCGAGTGCCGAAAAACTGGCACCACCCCTACTCTGCCCCCTGCCCCGCCCCCATCCAAGAAGCTTCTTTAGCTCTGACTGGATGGTGGAATGGAAGGATTTATGCTCCTTGCAGACAGCTGGTCATTTGCATTCTATTAGAGAGTCATTGAGGCCACTTGGGGGTTTACCTGTGTCCTCAGAGTCACCTGATTAGTGCAAATGGCTGCAGAATGTTTTCCTGCCCTTGGCTGTTTCCTTGCACCCTAGAAGGCTCCACACCCATTTGCACTACTCAGGTGACCCTGAGGACACAGACAAAACTCCAGGTGGCCTCAACGACTCTCTAAAAGAAGGCAAATGACCAGCTGTCTGCAAGGAGTATAAATCCTTCCATTCCCCACCATCCAGTCAGAGCTGAAGAAGCTTATTGGATGAGAAGCAAAACGTCTTCAAAGAAAAAACGAAGTCCAGTTGCCTCGTGAAAAAGCTTCTTTGGGACAACTATGACCTCCGTAGACATCCCACATAACATTTTACAGTTTCAGGATAGTTCCTTCTTCCGTGTGCATACAGCTTGTTTTTGTGGTAAACTTAATGCCAGCCTCTGTTTCTGCTCAGAATATTTTTTTTTCTTCCCCTTTTTCTTTGTTTTCTAAAGCAGCCTGTGAACAGGAGACAGAAAACGATGAGGAGGAGAGTGTGGCACTCTTGCCAGCAGCCCAAAACGAAGCGGATAAAGAGACGTTTGCCAATCAAGAGGAATCAAACGGTCAGGAAAAAAACTGCGAAATAAACGGAAGACCGACTTCGGACCCATCGGGAGGCGCAGAAGCCCACGTCACCACGAGCGAAGAGTGTGGAGAGGGTGTTGGTGAGAGCAGTGACCTTGCGAAGCACGACGGAATCCGCAGTGGGCAGAAACCATATGTGTGTGTGGACTGTGGAAAAAGTTTCTGCAAGAGAGCTCAGTTCAGGATCCACGAAAGAATCCACACAGGGGAGAGGCCATTTAAGTGTGCTGAGTGCGGAAAGGGCTTCACGGTGAGGGGTCATCTGATCAATCATGAAAGAATCCACACGGGGGAGAAGCCCTTTAGGTGCATGGACTGCGGCAAGAGTTTTAGCCACAACAGCGCGCTTTCTCGCCACGAAAGAACCCACACCGGGGAGAAGCCCTACAAGTGCATAGACTGTGGAAAGGGCTTCTGTCATGGAGGCAAACTTAGGATCCATGAAAGAATCCACACAGGGGAGAAACCATTTAAATGTATGGAGTGTGGAAAGGGCTTCACTATGACGGGTCACCTTGCGAACCACGAAAGGATCCACACAGGAGAAAAGCCCTTTAGATGTACAGACTGTGGCAAGAGTTTCAATCAGAATAGTAGCCTGATGACCCACAAAAGAATCCACACAGGGGAGAAGCCATATCACTGTCTGGAGTGTGGGAAGAGCTTTAGTCACAACAGTGCCCTTACTCGTCACGAAAGGACCCACACCGGGGAGAAACCTTTTGAGTGCTTGGACTGTGGAAAGAGTTTCAGTCAGAACAGCAGCCTAATGACCCACAAAAGAATCCACACAGGGGAGAAGCCATATTGTTGTCTGGAGTGTGGAAAGAGCTTTAGTCACAACAGTGCCCTTACTTGTCACGAAAGGACCCACACCGGGGAGAAACCTTTTGAATGCACGGACTGTGGGAAAAACTTCAGTCAGAATAGCAGCCTTATGACCCACAAAAGAATTCACACAGGGGAGAAGCCATATCAGTGTCCGGAGTGCGGAAAGAGCTTCTGTCAGAGTGGCCAATATATGATGCACCAAAGAATCCACACGGGATAGAATCTAAATTCATGGTGTAGCCAGGTAGAAAATAGATGAAACAAAAGAATCGACACAGGAGAAGCCATCTGGATACTTGGAGTGCAGAAAGAGGAATTTTGCATAAAATGAAAGGTCAACGGAGAAATATTTGAATATGTGATATGTAGAGTGATGTTACTGCACATTAGGTAATCGGTGTAATTATAAATGCATTGAAGAGAAAAGAGTTGTAAAAGGACTTCAGATGGCGCTTACAACTATTTGTTCAAAGTTAACAACAGCATTGGAAAAAGTGACATGATCAGTCCTCGCACTTATGACCATTGCAGCATCCCCCACGGTCATTTGATCAGAATTCAGACACTTGGCAACTGGCGCATATTTACGATGGTTGCAGTGTCTCTTGCAACCAGGTAGTTGCTAACTCTACAGCCCTTTGACCAGTTTCTGGGTGGTGTTCTTGCCCCTAAGCTGGTGGGAAGTATATTTAAGAATTGCTCTAGTAGTATCTCTCTTATTTCATCCTTAGTTTTAATCTTATCATTCGGTCATAACCATTTTCTATCCAGATTGGCCAATCTTGCTCATAATTCACGTAGCTTTTCCCTGGCATCGTAGATAACATTTCGAAACCTTTGTTGGTATGCGACATTATATCACATTTGGTATAGAATCACATTTTTAAGGTAATAGTTATCCATCCACTCTAATGGCAGAAAGTGAAGAGGAACTAAAGAGCCTCTTGATGCGGGTGAAGAAGGAGAGTGCAAAAGTGGGCTTGAAAGCCAACATTAAGAAAACCAAGATCATAGCATCCGGCCCTCTCAATTCCTGGCAAATAGATGGGGAAGAAATGGAGGTAGTGACAGATTTTATCTTCCTGGGCTCCAAGATCACTGCAGATGGGGACTGCATCCAAGAAATTAAAAGACGCTTGCTCCTGGGGAGGAAAGCTATGGCAAATCTAGACAGCATACTAAAAAGCAGAGACATCACCCTGCCAACAAAAGTACGTATAGTCAAGGCCATGGTTTTCCCAGTTGCAATGTACGGCTGTGAAAGTTGGACCATAAGAAAGGCTGAGCGCCAAAGAATTGAGGCCTTTGAACTATGGTGCTGGAGAAGACTCCTGCGAGTCCCTTGGACTGCAAGGCGATCAAACCGGTCAATCCTAGAGGAGATCAAAGGAAGAGACTGGCATTTCTATAATTATATTAGTCCAAGAATCAGGATCTAATGGATTTTGTAGCTGCTCCAACCTTCCTGTTGTCTTAAAAGTTAGGTTAAGACTGAACAGCTGCTCTCACAGAAGGAGCAATGCCCTTGGTATCCCCAGGAGCAAGAGAGTCACTTGTCCCAAAGATGCTTTTTCACGAGGCAACTGGATTTCTTTTTTTTTCGTTTGAAGACGTTTCGCTTGTCATCCAAGAAGCTTCTTCAGCTCTAACTTGGATGGTGGGGAATGGAAGGATTTATACTCCTTGCAGCCAGTTGGTCATTTGCATTCTTTTATAGAGAGTTGTTGAGGCCACTTGGAGGTTTATCTGTGTCCTCAGGGTCACCTGAGTGGTCCAAATGGGTGTGGAGCCTTCTTGGAACTGTTGAAAGGATTGTGTTGTGGATAGATGATGTCGGATCCCTCCCCCTCTGTTGAGAGAGGGCTGTTCAGTTTTGACATAGATGGCCTCTTTGACCCCTCTTTCAAAACCAGCGGTCCTCTCTGTCCAAAATGTGGACTTTGCTGTCTTCGAAAGAGTGTCTTTTGTCTTTTAGATGCAGATGGACTGTTGAATCTTGTCCTGATGGGTTTGTTCTCCTATGTTGTGCCATGCATTTATGAAGTGGGCTCCATACCCATTTGCATTAGTCAGGTGACCCTGAGGACACATGAACCTCCAGGTGGCCTCAACGATTCTAAAAGAAGGCAAATGACCAGCTGTCTGCAAGGAGTACAAATCCTTCCATTTCCTGCCATCCAGTCAGAGCTGAAGAAGCTTCTTGGATGAGAAGCGAAACGTCTTCAAAGAAAATCCAGAAAGTCCAGTTGCCTCGTGAAAAAGCATCTTTGGGACAACTATGATCTGGATGACTGAGAATCTCCATAGACATCAAAAGAGTCACTTCCATCTTTACTTGCCTAGTATAAGCTCCGATTCGTGGTCTTGT